TTGCTCTATTTTTTATTGCCATACAAGGGATTTTCGCCGGTAATGCAATGTCTTGCACTGGTCGATCACATGTGATGTCCTACTGGAAGTTTTATGTCTAAGGAACGTTGATATACTTTGAGACGTTTGTAAATTGCTGAAATTTGCTGTAGTAAAACCAGCGGCACTGGCACTGATAACTTGATTGATGCTAGGAGATGATAACGCGCTCAGTTAAGCAGTTCTTGAGAGATAGGTGGTTTTATCTTAAGTTTGCAAGGGAACATTTCATTTTTTGCAGAGCGGTTTTGAGCAAGTTTCAGTAATTTTTCACTTAAATGAACTTCACTCGATTATCATCAAACTAGTTACTGTTTCAAATGTTGAGTAGAATCGAGACTGTAAAATGAAAATTGAATTCATTGGAGATGGTTAAACATCGGGAAGAAAAAAATTGATAATGTTTGTTTGAGAAGGAACAATGAACAATAGTGAAGATTTAAAGAGTTCGGATTGAATTCTGATGTTTAGAGATACGGGGTCATCGTTGTCGTTCAAATGTGGTGACTGTGACAAAGCATTCAAGAGTGCTGAATTTCTTGATCACCACAAACTCATGCAGCATAGTGGATTTTCTCAGCAGTAAGTTGTGCTAGGTTAAAAATATAACCTCTTCGGTGCTGTAAAACTCCTACATCAGAAAAGTTATGATAATAGATGAGGACAGAGTTGTGTACGGTATGCGTTAGGTATGGTTCCTCAGCATGAGTACGAGGTTTATTGAGTAGTCGTGACTCAAACCACCTCGTTGTCATGTGTAAGCAACGGACTACCCCTGCCTGCCAATTGTTTCCACTGTTTCCGTCATTTAAAAAAATGAGTCTAAATCCTAACCTGCTCGCTGTGGTGATCCTGAGTAGTCATGTTGTCTCTCTGCAAAACTCTTTGAGCTTTTTCTTGCTCAAATCACTTCGTGCAAGAGTACACTGTCATCCCAGGACCTTTGTTTTTGCTGTTGGCATGGTCACTTAGCCCTTGTAAGCCTAGTGTTTTATCCTGTAGTGTTGTCGTGCTTTTTACCTCACGTGGCATTGATTTACAGGTATAGCTATTCGTTTTTTTTTGCTCTTGTAAGTAAGGAAAAAGAAAGAAGAACGCGGTCCAAGAAAATTCCGCGAACTAGTGGAGTCCGTTTCTAGGTTTAGTTAAGCTCTTCTGCGACTTCTGCCTCATCCAAGGCTTTTCGACCTGGACTTTCCGCTCTTTGTTGCTAATTTCTAAGGGCGTTCTTGCTTCGATCGATTGTCATTGAAGAAACCACCGCTATTGAAGCGCTTCATCGTTTTTCACACATGCTCACAGCGTTATCTTCTTAGCCTTCACCTTTATTTTGTTAACGGAAGGAAATTACCAAGCGGAGGGTTGGTAGGTATCTCTTCAATAGAGGACCAAACACCACGTGCTAAATTGTTTGTGAAAGTCTGCTTAGTTAGAGTGGAAGGAATTGTGCAAAAAACGTATTGTTTGGTTCGGAAGCCACGGATCTCCCTCATATGAGGGATCTCGAGCCGGTTAGTCGCGAGGCAACGTGGCGCGTCCGCACGTAGCGGATAGGGAGATAATCGCGGACCAAAAGCGACCTGTACTTTCCTGCGACGCAGATGGATCCAGGAGATGGACTCCCGGTTTCTGCTGCGCTGATTTGGTTCATACTTTCTGTTTTTGCTAGGCGTATTCATGCATGCGTGTGTGGGTGCGTTCTTGCTCATGCGGATTGTATTCTACGAGTCAATTCGGCTAAAAGCCTGCAATCAAGTGACTGGGAAGTATATGGGAGGCGGTCATGGGTCGCCTCCAACAAATAAGCTCCATGTCCACTCTGGAAGAGCCTGGCAAACAACCCGTGAGTATACCCAGCCTCCACGTTAAGAGCCCAGCAAGCTATACATGGTAACCAACAATGCTAAACACAGTAAAAAAAAACGGGCCTCATTCCCCTCCCCATTCCCTCAAACTCCGAAAGAGCCCCCAATTTCGCAGCGTTGGGTACGGCGAGTACGGAGAGGCTGAGAAGACGCCGGCCTTTCAACGCCGTCTACGACACCAGAGAAGAACGGTTCCTCGGAACATGCGACAGTAGAGGAGTCGGCGGTGTCGGTGTTCTCGTCGACACGAGTTTGTCCATGAACATCGATTCATTCGAACAGTTTACAACCCGAATCGGACGTTTACGATTTAAAAGCTGTGGATCAATCCCGGTTTTGATAATCTTCGTCGTTTACGCGCTTACATCGCCGATCTATTACGAAGGAAAGCCGAAGCATTCTATATGGACTTGGAGAAGTTCTACAGAGAACACCATACATTCTTCATGGTCATCATTGGAGATTTCAACGCTAAGATTGGACCAAGAAGAATGTCTGAAGAACGTCACATTGGGACCCACGGATTAGAATGGAACGAACAGGGTGAGCGGCTATCTGAGCTTATCATGGCGACCAAGACAATCCATGGTAACTCGCAATTCCAGAAGCCCCAGCCTCAGCTCTGGACGTGGAAGTGTCCCAATGGAGAGTACCATAACGAAATAGACCACATAATAGTAAATAGAAGGTTTTGCCCAACCGATGTCGCTGTTGTTCCAAAATTCTATGCGGGATCAAACCATTGTCTCCTTCGTGCAAGATTTTATTTCTCGCGGAAAGGAGAAAAAGCCGCTAAATTCCAAAACCGAAGTCCCAGAACCACCGTAAACTGGGACTTATTCACTTCATTAGTCGGTTGTTGGGAAGATGCCGTTGTCGATAATATCGAGGAAGAATACGATCGGCTCATTCAACATATTCACGTTAGCGCTATGAAAGCTCAGAGTTCGAAAGTCACCAAGAGACGTTTGTCTCCAGAAACACTTGAGCTGAAAGGCCCACGTGGGATCCCACGAGCTGCAGGCAACCGCGAACTAACGTCGAAATGTGCCAAACAATGCAGACAGGCGATAAAAGAAGATCTTAAAGAGAGAAGAGCAGCAGTAATGGTCGAAGATGCAGAAGCTGGGAAAAGCATTCGCAAAGCCTACTGAAGGCTAACCAATTACATTACCAAGATTGTGTACTCCGACGCCTAGATGGAACAGTTATAGCGTCCAGAAAGGCAATGAAGAAAATCATTCACGAACACTACCTGGATCTCTTCGATAGCCACGTCCACCTTCCGTCATATGAAATAAAGGATGATGGATATGTTGTACCACCGGTTCTTCCTTCCGAAATCCGACATTTCATTTCGTCGGTGAAAAATCGAACAGCACCAGGTCGGGATAGGATAAGACCAGAACACCTGAAAAACCTTCCTCCAGTCCTCCTAAACACACTGGATCGTCTCCTCACATGTTGCATGTCTGAAGGCATTGCCCTACTCAGTGGAAGACCAGCAAGACCGTGTTATTGTTCAAGAAGGGTGACCTGCACGATATCGGAAACTATCGCCCAATCTGCCTACTGTCTGTCGTCTACAAACTTTTCACTTGAGTCATCGTAAACAGGATTGACAGAACACTAGACGAAGGTCAGCCATGTGAGCAAGCAGGGATTCGAAAAGGATTTAGTACTATGGACCACATCCACACGATAGCAAGACAAATTGAAGAATCGCTGGTGTACGAAAGACCGCTCTTTTCCACTTTCATCAATTTACAGAAGGCCTTTGATTCAGTTGGTGTAGAAGCAGTCTTGGAAGCCCTTGATTGTCAAGGAGTCCATACTCAGTGCATAAAGATTCTTCGTGAGCTTTACAAAAATTTCACAACCAAGATATCACCTTTCTACAACGATATTAACATTGACGTCAAAAGAGGAATTAGACAAGGCGATACTATCTCGCCAAAATTGTTTGCCACCACTCTCCAGAACGTCATGCGAACAATGGAGTGGGACAATATAGGAGTGGAAGTCGACTGCGGCAGTTACACATTTTCGCTTTCCCGGTGACATCGTCCTTATAACACCAAACATTAGCCAAGCAGAACGTATGCTCGACGACTTTGATAAAGCCTGTGGAAAGATTGGTCTTCGATTAAATCTCACAAAAATGATGTTCATGAAGAACGGATTGGTTTCGCATGCCCCATTAACGCTCAACGGAACGAATATCTCCAAACACTCCAGTTACGTCTGTCTTGGTCGGGAAATCAACATAATGGGCGAATTAGCTCCAGAGCTGAGCAGGAGAAATCGAGCAGCTTGGAGAGTTTTCAAGAGCATCGAGATTGTAATTAAGAGAACAAAGAACACCCGACTCGGTGCCCACCTTTTCGACTCGACTGTACTTTCTGCCCTAACGTATGCGTCAGAAACCTGGTCACTGCGTAAGCAGGGTGGAAGGTCACTCAGTGTTATCGAACGCGCAGTCGAAAGGACGATGCTAGAAGTATCCCGTTCCACACAAGTAAGGGATGGGATTCGAAGCTCCGATTTGCGTCAACGATTAAAAATCGAAGGTCCCATTCTGTACGCCAAGCAGTCGAAGATAAGGTCGGCCGGACACATAATGCGTATGAATGACAACCGATGGACAAGAGCCTTTAGTGACTAAATTCCTCGGGATGCCAAACGTACTGCAGGAAGACCACAGACCCGATGGTTAGAGTTCTTTGCAAAGAGCCTTGAAGAAAGATATGATGCTGAAGATTTACTGGAGCCCGCTCAAGTCACTCGACGATCAGCGGGACTACAAGTGATACAGGTGAATAGAACTGATTAACTGTCACATTTAACCTTGCGAAATTACATATACATATTATAATTAAGCCGAGCGTAGCGTTGTGGTTGGAGGTGTCCTGCAATGCATATTGAAAGAGACTCTCGTTCAATCATGCTCCCCATGTTCGCCGAGCTTAATCGGAAAAGCGGTACCAGATTTATCATGGGGAAGAGCAGTGCTGATTTGATTTGACCAGCCATGAAGATGCTATCCTTTATCCTTTGTAACAATCGTTTCAAATTTTTTACGAGAATAGAGATTGACGGTGTTGCAGGTTATTGTCCGGGTTGTTACCACAAGGCTTTCCGACGTTGCCGTTTATGCTTCCTGGTGGTATGACGCAGCAGTTCCAGGTGCCTGACATGGACTCTCTAGGCGCGATGAGTACGGTAAGCTCATGGTTGAGTGAAGACGATTGTTCAAATCAATGATGATCACCGTTCTTCCCATCGTAGATGTTTATCGGCCGTGTGATACTTTTAAATAATTCTATATTCACTCCTTAAGCGATGTATTAATTTGTAAATATTAAGAAATGTGGTTAAAAGTCAAAATGTCAACTTTTTACTTACTGCCTACTACAGTTTTTCGCAACACGGTAGTATGTGAGATACAACCACAATGGTGCTGAGTTGTTTGCAAAATTCTGGACCGCAGGTGTCTGCGGTGGAGATCGAACACACTATCATCCTTTCCGGGGGCTAACGCGTTCACCACCACACCACACGATGCGGGTTCTTCATTTCGCCCTTCTGTCGGCTAATTTGCTATGTAACAGTGCCATCAGCAATGACCCGTTTATGGGATTGATCTGGAGGGCCCAAATCGGCATCGAACCCAGTTAAGCTGGGGCTGTAGTCGAAATCACAGTGTTAACATCTTACCCTAGTAAAATTTTGCACAGCAGGGTATTATATAAAATACAATCCATATGAGAAGAGTTTTTTGCAGCCAAAACAATCGAATACGATGAAACGTCAGTACTCATCAAATGGCAAGAATTACTGTGATTTGTGCAATAAGGAGGTAGAATTTACTATAAAATCCTTTGAGATTGTCCGTTTCGAAATTGCTTCCAATCCAATCATATACACGGCTACTTATCACTGATTGTGTCATTTATCACTGTAGGTGTGTAACAAGTACTTTCTACGCACACATATGTTGAAAATGCACGGCATTGTGATTGACGAGAACAAGACGGTGATCGCTAATATTGATACACTGGAGAAGGAGCGTATGGGTACGCTTTCTTTCAGGTATAGCTGATTTCGCTCCCATACTTATTACGTCATGCCCACTTTTTCGTTATGTCGCTTATAAGAAGGCATTCAATTCCACAGAGTGCAGACGTTTGCTTTGCAGATGCGACATTTGTCATACGGAACACAAATCTCGGCATCTACTTCGACAACACAAACAGGATGTGCATGGAGTGGTGCCATTGTCGACTCCGTCGACTAGGAGTGAGATATTCTGTTATTAATGTTCAAATAGTATACTAATAGTATCAATATGTTAATGTTGTGTTATTACTGCTTACTTGGATGCTTGGATCGCCCGTCCTCACTGATTGTGAGGGCCCCAGCATGATTTCTAATTTTTCGAGGTTTTGCTGGTTCATCCATCTTGGTTTCCTGGAGTCCCGTGGTCAGCCAAGCTAAAGTCTGCCCCAGGTCGTCACGGCCCTAGATAGTCGCTGCCCCTGTGAGTCAGGGAGAGAGAGAGATTTTCCACCATGCGACCCTGATACCAGGACGGTGATGGGTCCTGGTATTGGTTTACTCATAGCTGGGCCTACTGGTGGAAACGCCGGACTCGTTCTAAGCTTGGGAGACCCCGCTGGGGTCTTGAATCCCTCGTTGTACATCACTGCCCGAGACCATGGAACACCTCCCAACCACGATGAGGCAGTTAACTTTTGGAAGGATTGTATTATTATTTGTTATGTATCTATTATTATAGGCGCTGTAATGCTTATATTCGTAGTCATGCTCTTTATTGATAAGGAAAATAGGACCGTATCAAAATTTATGCTGTTGTTTATTTCGAGCTGTGTATACTTCTCTAGACTTCACATCGAATCGATATTTGTGTAGAAAAATATGATCAAGCTCATTTGCCTCATTTGCCTCACCTATTTTCACTTTCTAGGCCATTGTCACCTTCTACCTCTTGTCACTTACTTCATGTTTGATTTTAAACAAGGTTTTTTCTTATCGTCGCCAATAGGGGTTCTCCAGGATGTCATAAAACATCAACTAAATTTTTGTTTTTCCTACTGAATATTTTTTTCTGAGAAATCTTCCGGTTTCACAAATGTCATAGTACAAAGAAGTAGGTCCTTATTATTCTTTTTGCATAGCTACTGCTTGATAATCTGAGGTGGATGGCAGTTACCGAAATATCTGACTGTAGTCTATGGAATGGAATATTAGATAACAGATAGATATTTTTCAGAACCGTCCGCATTGTCGAACGCGTCTGCTGCTGCAGCTGTCGTCAATGGGGACGAGAAGGTGGAGAAGTGCCCCTTGTGCGAGCGACGTCTAGCGGCTAACGCCCTCTCGGCTCACATTCAGAACGAGCACACCGGCAGTGGAGGCTTGTCGCTGTCGCAGCTCGCTCCGACCTCACCCAGCTTAGACTGCAAGTTCTGTCCGTCGATGTTCAAAGACCAGATGGAACTGCATTTGCATCAAATCAATCAACATACTGTAGAATTACTTCAGCAGACGCAGCATGCTGACTCGAAAAGTAAGATCAGTATGAAGTTGCTCTTAAAGATGATTTACGCTCTACTTAACGTCGTGAATTCTAAAAATAAGCTGTTTATTTTAACAATGTACAATATTTCGATTTCTCCATCTTCCTCTCGTATCAACTGCGTATGTTTCTCAAAGGTTCATCGGATTCCATTTTGGTTTTTGGGTTAGCGTTTATCTTGCAGTTGAAGTTTCTCCAACATGTTCCTACTACGAGGTTTTGAAACGTAAAGGAGCAGGCGCTGTATCCATTAATTGGTCATTCCCATGAAATTCTTCTACGTTCCTCCTCTGGATTTATCAGGCGAAGTTCTCATTTTAACCTCTAATTTCGTCATCTTTCAGAGTCGTCTTCGGACTCCGTTGCATCAGTTTTGCGTTGTATGCGATGTCAGTATACGACTCGCGATCCGCGGAACCTCGAAATGCACGTGGAACGACATGAGCGAATGAACGAAGCAACGAGGGAGTCGTGCTCTGAAATCAGCACAGATGCTGCTCTACGAGCCACAACCGAAGCTGCTTTGAAAATGATGGTTGCAAATCGAGTCAGTACAAGTAACAGTTTGAATTTCAACGTAATACTCTCGCGACGACGCCCTATCTCGGGTCTAGACGACGGCCAATTTTCAGCCTTTGTAGATTTTTTGTTTTTCTAGTTTTTTAATGGGTTGTAAACATGAGTGGTGTGTAAACTATTTTCTCTATCGTTATGCAACTATGAGTGGTAATTATTTACGCGACTGAGCTGACAAAGGGTGTATAAAAGTTTTATTCAGCTAACGTTTCGGTATATTCGCCTTCATCAGAGCCGCGTTGATTTTAGTCGGTGTCCCACAGCCGGTCGTTGTCACGATTAGCTCATCGTGCACCGCTTCGAATGGTTAAGTTCCCTGAGCGGCGTTCATCGGATTGTACTCGATGCGTTCATGAGTACCCGCATCGCTACAATGACCAGCTGTGGATCATGTACTCTGACCAACGCGGCTCTGAGGAAGGCGAAGATGCTGAAACGTTAACCAAGTAAAACTTTTATATCAAAATCGTAACGTTTCATTCGTGTAAAAAATTCAGTGAACATTGTTACTGAGACTTAATGAAAGGCGGGTTTTAAGATATTAGTGATATTTATGGCGCTAATTACTACGTGTTACAGTGGTCCACAATACAAACGCATTACTGTCAGGATTTGAAATGTTCTGCAACTTCTGGGTCTCTATTTCCGTAGTGCATTAAGACCCAAATTTCTGGTTAGTGAACTCGTTCGGGAAATGATTTCTTGTGTACCCGGATGGTGTGGTGGTGAAGTGCCCTACTCCCCGGTAAGGACAATAGCGCGTTCGTTCACCCCCCACATACACCTGCGGTCCGGAGTTTTGCAAATATCTCAGCATTATATACGAGATTTCTTGTACACTTCCAAGTACAGAATAAAGTTGATAAAAATATTGGAAAATAGTTCTGTGTAGTAAAATAAACCATTGGAAAGAAAACGAGACCTGCAGATCTCTCACCGGCCATCTCGGCAGAACCATTATGACACCAATAGGTGTTACTCGTCGCGAGAGTTTAAAAAAACTGTAATGAATAGCAGAATGATTGGCTAGCGAGTACTTCAGCACACTTTTTAGTACTCTCGCTCTTTGACTATCTTAAAAATAGATTAAAATATGGGTTGCAATCCGTAGTTATTGACGGATAGTTATTTTCAAATTAAAATCAGCCAATATAACTAATTGTCTAATATTCTAATTTACAGCTCCAAACGGAGGGTACGAAATGCTCGTTGTGTGATGTAAGATGTCCAGATGAGGCAACACTTGAAGCGCACTCTTCCCTTGCTCATAACGGCCTGAATCTGACGGTTAGAAAGGAGAAGAAGGATGAAAATGATGTAGAGACTGACAAGATCGCCAATGAACGGAATAGTCACACAGTTGGTTGTTTTTTTTAATAAGATTTATTTGTGACAGGTATTACGATCGGAATGTTCTGCACAGCTACTATTTCTGACAAATTCAGTGCTATTTGTAACTGCAAGGACTGCAGTCCATCCGAACTCTAGTTGATTAGGTCTATACGAGTCTTGAAATCAACGTTAAGAGTTTTCCCACGATTTCAGAGTGGCTCGATGTCACCTTCGGGTGAATCATTGCCAGAAGGTTTCGGTAAACCAGACAGTGGGTCTTGTGATGAAAAGCACGTCATGCAATCTTTCGTGCTTCGATGTACCGCCGACGCTTCAGGAGCTTTTTTATCGGAAATGATCGCTCATCTACCCGTACGAACTCTTGTTTCTCAACCCACACGGGTCTCCTTTGAACTGGTACCGCAACAGGTTTCCAGTGACTCGAATTCATTTTAAAATCTTACTTACCTCGGAGTTTTTTGACTTTACTCACCCACCTGTCCAGGAGTGCAATAGGGCCATGTCCCTTTAACTGAAACGAGTCCTTATCCAAAAATCCTCATCCTGATTGATTGATCAATATAATCATCGTAAATCATTGGGTCTATATATATTCATCAAAATAGAGAGATAGAAAGAGAAAGAGTAAGTACTCATGCGTCGTATGCTTATTTATGTATGGTGCTTTGTAGTTTTGTAGAAGAGTTTTTATGTACGTGCTTATATCTGTCATCTCAGATTACATGTTGCGAAGTATGTTGTTGTTTATTTCCACATAGATGAGGATAGTAGCAGCCACAGCAGTAGCAACTGTTATTTATTTTGATTGGCCAGAGATTTTCGTCATTGTTGTATTCTTTCCATTTCGCCAGAATCCTACTAAAGATCATTAGAACTAAAGAACATGAGCCATAATGTGTTATTATCCCAACGAACTGATCCTGCCATATTTGGTGTGTTGTAATTTCTCTTTAAACTTTATCGTCGCGTAACCATATCATCATATTTTAACCTCAGCTGAACTGGAACATCACTGTTTACCATCGACCGATTCACCTAGTTCTTAATACGTCGGTCGTGCCTGACTGCTTCTGGCACCCATAGAATAACTGCAACCGTCTTCCTCAAAAATGGGCCCATAACTATGTGCATGTTCGTCTATTATTTCGTTCGAATAGCTTTGGGTTTTTGTCTGACCCTTCAATCTATCCGTAAATAGTTTCGCTTATTTATTGAACCTTTTGCTTTCTACTTGTAGATATGATGAGATTATTTCTCGTTTGTGAATAATCGTTGGCGAAGTGACGATGTGTGCGTAGCCGCGTTCCTCATTTGTTTCGTTTCTGAAGAATATCAAAAGCGGCGCGTATTTAAAATTGTTTTTTTTAGTATTCATTGACGCGTCTATTCAATTACTCAAAATCATACATTTCTTCCTTCCATAGCTTGGCTATTTATTTTATCTTATATTTGTAAGGGTTTATGTCATTATTACAATAAATTGTTTATTGGAAAGGTATTTTTGCTTGACTTCCTTTTTTAGCATATTCTAAACGATGCTCCTAATTTTGTGTTGCGGGCACGTCAGACAGCGTGTGTTCTTCGACTGCTCGTACGTCGAGTCATATGTGACTCATGGCGGCCCAACGCTCGCCACTCCACGTATGAGACGTGGACCGTCCTCGCTAACAGCATCCTTTGTGTCTCTTTGTAAGTACAATAGGCTATTAGTTACTGTGTAATCTCACATCACACCGCACGTTCTAGCTCCTTTCATTTGTGATACTCTCGCTCTATGGGTACACTCCTTACAAGCAACGATGTGCCATCACGCGAGCTTCGAGCCATATGGGAAATTCAGCCAAGGAAGTTTTTCGTGCATTTCTCTGTGTAGGATGAGGCTTTTTACGGCCGATACTCGGTATAACGTCTACGTCAGTTAGGCCATTGAATGAATGCGAAATTGCGGCAAAGAAGCTCGTGGCAAAATTAACGCAAGGTTTCGAGTTTTTAATAGATTGGGAGTACTTCTTGCTAGCATTTACTATTGTTTGAATCGTGAATTGTCCCTAAGTAAATGGTCAGACCATCCGAGTCTGAAATCATTAAGGAGAGTGGTTTCCTTTTCTGGTCGCTATTGCGGGTACATGTAGAGGCAATAAGGCTTATTGGAAATCTTGAAAGACTCGTTTGTAATTTAATGTTTGTATGTCCGCTTTTTAACTTTTAACCGTTATTATATTATATTATATATATATATATATATATATATATATATATACAGCTGTCCAGGGCTTCCATGACTGCTTCTATCTCAGTTGAGTCAAAGACCTTCTTTATATCGATGAAAGTGAGATAGACCGGTCTTATGTACCGAAGGGACCATAATAACACATGCGATTGAGTATAGAGTTGACGTAGCTACTGTGGAAAATACTTACGGATATTGCTTACGGATGTCCGTTACTAAACCTGGTTTGCCTACATTCACTTAAGCCTGAAGCAAAGTGGCGCTACCGTAGTGGGCAGAGAGTTAAATGCGGACTAGAAGCGATTTCATGATTACATGAGAAGCAGGCTGATTCAAGGGAAATACTAGATAGAATCGCTGCTTTACCGACTTAGCACCCTTTCTTCAGTCCTACATCTTCATAGTCACCATTGCCACTAATTCTCCACTATATTTTATTTCGAGGAACAGTTCATGTCTGGTAGCAAAGGTAATGTATAACGTGCTGTTAGTCTGGTTCCAGCCACTCCGACAACATGAGATTGCAGCTTCTCTGCCTCCATCTCGTCCTTATCAAACAGTTGTCATTCGAGCATAAGTGCACTACAAACACCTTCTTGAAATCTATTCAGCCTAGAATGTACTTGCGAAGTCTTTAAAATATCTGTTCGTTTCTGAAGTTTGCTAGAATTTTCTAGTTCCCACCACTCAAGATGCTGACGAGAAGAACGCGGAACACTTTATATGAGGGCTTTCATCTTTAACGTTTTAAGCGATATGGTAGCAAAATGTATTCGAGAGGCTTTCGCCACAATAGGTCTACTGATATATTGATTTCCCAACAGAAATTTCGAACTACTCGGCCTCGGTGACTGGACTACAAGTGTGGACCATCTGTGTGTGGATTAAAATTCATTTGCCACAATAGGAAGAATAACCTTTCAGAGAGATTTTGTATCTTCAGATTTTGTATATTACATTTTATATTTTGCCAGCAAAGAGGAATAAAAGGAAGAGGGAAAAAAGCAAAGGACAAAGCAAGCACTATTAGGAAGACCAAGTGAGTATGTTGAACTCATGAAATTCTCTGGAAATCTATAAATTACCTTATAAGGGGCACCGTGTAACGCATTTCACTATTACAAGTGGTATGTATGTTTGAAGCTCAGGCTAAACAGGGGTATCAAATGCATTCCCAAATTGTATCCTATGTATTATAGACTCCCAAACAACATTTATGACACTTTTGCTACTTTAAGGCAGAAGCGCGGAAAAAGGAGAGCTAAGAAACATAACCAACTTTTAGACAAAATTATAAAAAGCTCTAAAAAGGCTCTCGGCGTTGATCAATCCCTGAGGGATGCGCTATGCAATCGAGTTCATGAAGCATCGTTGGGAGAAGAGTGAATGCATATCTGGCCTTTACAATGGCTTGTGGTGGCCTACGGATATATCGAGCCGGCGCTGCTATCCTCCCAGACAAGTCTGGTACCGATTTGCCGAGCTCGATGGGATGGAAGGCTTAACGGACCAGGGGCGTTTCTGGATTAGTTTTCAATATCTTTTCTCCTTTTCTTGATAAGCTAGCACGAGTCTGGTATAAAACTTCATTCGGTGGCTTTGTATGTTGCAAAAACAGACGGGTGTGGATAGTCGACTAAAATCATTCTCGCATGAAAGAAGAAGGAGGCGCAAAGACGTCGGCCGAATAAGTGTTGAATAACAACCTCGTGTTAATTTTTCAATGAAGGGATAAATAGAAATTGACCAGCCATACCGATGCTACATGAAAGTTAGTTTTCAAAGATATTCTTCAATGTATTATTTAAAGCTTTCAAATTCAAGAATATTTGTCAGATTCAACCTATGAGCTCTTGCGTTTACTCTTCGCACAGCTCCGTCAGTGAAGTCAGCGAGATTGGCGTAAATCTGCTAGTGTGCTGAAGTTTCAAATGTCGCCCAGCACGTTTTGTGAGCACTAAGTGTTTAAGCAGTGAACAGAGGATTTCGCAAGAATTCTTTACATTACTCTGCTCCTTTCCTACACTAAGAATAAAACAGATTTAATCAGAGATCTCCAATTCATCAGACGTTAACACCTTCAACTTCCTTTAAGCTCTCTCGCGGTTGTATGGGATACATCTGCAAGTGCGTCCTAGCAAGGATTTACCTAACGACAAAAACTTTTCCATTATCCATCGCCACTGGAGCGCTTGTTGCGCACTCGTTACAGGTCCCCTTCAACGCTCACATTGTCTTTGGTCCGACTCTGCACCTTGACTCACGAAACCCTCCATCCCTCCGCCTTCCACGAAAAACTACAACTTGTCTGGGACGATAGCGGCACAGACTTTATACATTGGTAAACCACCGAAAGTCTTTGCGTAGGCCAGATATTTATTGGGTCGTTTCTATGGTGCTACGAATGGGGTCAAGTCCACGGTTCGTCCCTCAGCGATTGATCAATGGCGAGCGCATTTACTCTTTCATCCTTTAATATCACTCTCATCAAAACAATTCTATATTGTGTAGGTGTGTGAACAGACATTGACACAAGTCGAATGACGCCAATAATCACAGATAATTGCCGACCATCAGAAGTGGCGGTGTCATGCGTAGTCCATCAGCCTCGCCTCAACTGCCTGCCATACTCGAGCTATGCCGCTGTCCGAGCTTGAACAAGTGGGTTTCCTTAGTGATTTCGGGATGAATTTCAGTAATACTAAACTTCAAAATAAATTAAATAGTGGTGGAAAACTGAATAAGAATATTTCATAGACGTTTCATGGCATCAACTGTTTTCTATGGCAGCCTCAATATTTGATAATACCCGAAACATGGCTTAAAGGAGGTATTTTTTCCGAAATTCTAAGTATTACTGGGAAAGGCTTCTTAGTTAAAACTATTAAGAGTCTGACACTCAACAGTTATCTCTTACGGCCATTTCTTTATTAGATGAAAGCCTGGCACAAACCTATTGACAGATAATTTATCCTCATTGCGTGAAATTGGGAAATTTTTTAATCACTTTTTTGAATAAAATGTCATTACTATCTGGAAGATGGAAGCTCTCAATGCATATCCTTCTTTATTCGTTCACTTTTGAAATTATTCCTCCAGTCATTTACATACAGCCCCTAATTTCTGTTTTCGATTCTCTTCCTATTTTTTTCACTTTTGTCTCTCTGCCACTGAAGAAATCAACATTTGGCCTCAACGATTCATGAAAACAAACTATTCAGAAATGGACTGGAATGGATTTCTACATCGCTGCCGAGGAGATGCGACGTTTGAAGGGTGAGCCGAACGAAGAGGAGAAGCTCATCTTATACGGTCTGTACAAACAGGCCATACATGGCGATATTCCAGCCGAAGATTGTTATGGTAGGAAACGGTTAACATCGAAAGAATCTCTGTCAACCTATACCATTCTATTATCCATATTTATCCGTATGTTGTTGCTAACCCGTCAAATATTTTTGCGGAAACAATCAAACATTTCAGCAAATTCGTATCATAGATACTCACTCATTTCTGCAGGTTCACAATGTTTTTAACTCATATTACTGAACGCTGAGGAGTATGACGCGATACATTTGTGAATTCAACGTGGAGACTACATCGATGCCTTCGGACGTCCTTTCTAAATTTTCTCGATTAACCAAATACAGCCATCGTCTATACAGTAGGCCCCGGAAATTATCCCTTTAAATATTTAAAGTATCAATCGTAGGCAAGTTTGGTGTCAATTCAACACCATGAAGAGATGAGGAGTCTGACTGGCCCATAAGAAAGAACGATGCTGCCATCGTTCATATGAAACACAAAATAAAGTATAACAGTACAACTTCATCGTTTAATGAAAGCACTACATTTCCTGAAATGGAAGCATTACTCTGTTCTTCAAAATATCTGACAAAGAATCTTCCAAGTTGTTGTTATTTAAGATGTTTCCATTATAATAAGTCTTCGATTTCCAGAAGTTCCGACGGATAATGAGATTGCCATCAAGAAGTACAACTCCTGGGCTGCTAGACGAGGTAGCCCTCTAGTTCTTTGAGCTTTCCCTTTAATTAAGTGAAATAGTGTGCTAATTTCAATAAGCTAGTGTTTTCTTCTTGAACAAATGCGATGCTGTTGACATTTATTTAATACTGGTTGAGGATTTTGAGGACTTCTTCAGAGTCTGGAAAGGTCGAATTTTCTTGCAATCTACTCAAGGAAACGCTTTCATAATGCAAGCAGAAAAACACAATACATAAATTTCATTGCACTAATTTCGTTGGAAGAATACTTTATAACGATAGAACGTTGAGCGCTGTATAACAAGGGCTAAAACAAAAGAAATCTGTCGTATAATTTGAGACGAGTAACCTCTACACTGATCTTTCGAAGTTCTGTTATGCATAGTTTCCAGATTTCTACAACGTTGAAAAATGGTTTTCTCAGGCCAAAGCAAAGAATCGGCTCGTGCCGAGTACGTCGCGTTTGCTGAGGAGATGATCCGAAAATATCATCGCAACATCGTCAGGTGCAAATGGAACAGCGAAGTATGGAGCGTTGATTATTGATCTTTTAGTAATTTTTCAAAGAGAAAATGTTCCAATAAACGTCCTTTCGATTTGTTCATCACAAATTCTTTCAAATATCAAAAAAGGGCGGGTAGCACAGTGGCAATGATCTCTGTCATCATGAGCATGGTGCTAGTCCAACCAAGCCTCTCATCCCTCCGGAGTCGGGAAATTGGTCCCGGACTAGTCTGGGAAAAAAATCACTCTCTGCAATCCAAATGAGAACACTCCAGCCCGTCTATCTCAGGATTCGAGGGCGAATTGCTCGATCAGCATTCTATGACATGAGATGAAAATCCTCAAGCAGCAACCGAAGTCACAAGTAAAAGCTGGAAGATCTTCGTGGGCAGTGGATGCGAGGAGACGAATCGTTTCCTTTACTAAGTTGGCACTCTGGCTCGTGCTTGTGCTGGGATCCGCACGTATACGTGAAGATGAGTCGAATAAAAAAATAGAAAAGCTTTTTCAAATAACCACGTACAATTTTCATAGCGTTTCAATAGGAAGGAACTAATGCCATTATGCTCTTGTTCTTGACTTTCTATGAGAAGAATAGCTTGAACATATACATAGAACGTTCATTGGAATGAAGTGCTGAAAGGTGTGTTACGAATGAAGTGCAAGAGTTCCTGGAACGAGGGCAAACTGTGGTAGGAATAAATTAGGCTGTAGACAACAACATTTCCACCGCCAGTTTCTTATTGTGTAAGCTCTCAATATCACCACAACGTTGCTGAGATATTTGCAAAACTCTGGACCGCAGGTGTCTGCGATGGGGAGCGAACGCGCTATTGTCCTTTCCGGAGAGTAAAGCGTTCACCACCACACCATGCGGGTCCTTTGTTTCGCCTGTCTCTCAGCTATTTCTATCGATCTTTCGAGAATCTCTCAATATCCTCCTTCTTCAGGGTTAATAGTGATCCTCAGTCTTCAACTGTGATGTACAAAGAAGTTCACTCCATGATAAGGCCAACAATATTGCGAAAGATATCTGCATTTGCATAAACTCCATTCCAGCAGGAATTCCAGCAAACTGTAAGCTGGCGTGGCAGCATCCTTTAAGCTAGGCGTTGCTAACTACCATCAAAAATGGCGAAAATAAAAAACTGAAGTGCGTTGTTTTCCCGCATCTATCGAATGAATGGTGCTTAGTGAGGAGTTTTAATGTGTTTTAGGGATGAATGAAGTTTACCAGTGCCATTTGAGCAGTGAATAAAAGAATTATAGATGCCACAAGGAAAGCTTTCAATAATATTGGTCTCCCATCCAAAAATCATCTCTCTGAGTACATTGATAATTTTCTCGATACCCCCTTATATTCCTACTGTTCTTTCATATGAACAACTGAGTGGGACGTTCTCTCTTTTGCTATCGTTTTAGTATATAGAAATTCTTCAAGCAAAGTCGAACGAGGTTTCTAGCATTCAGCTTTTCTCATGTCCCAGTACCACGCTAGCTCCCTTCTTTTTAGCTAAGTTCATGAAGATCAAACAACCTCCTTAAAAAAGGAATATTTTTTCTTGAGGAAACTCCGATTGCCCTTTAGATCCTCGCAAGGTCCACAAGTATTATTGAGTTCGCGCAAGTATCGTCGTTCTCGGCTTAGTTGCGCCACGAATCGGCCTAACGACGTACGAACACACCCGATTATCCGGATCATAGTTGAAATCGCGAAGAACGTGGCATTTTCGCTGTTACGCTAAAAATTTATGGTTTAAAGTACACGACGTTCAGCAAACTCTGTAATGAGATACCACTGCCATCGAAATTCACTGAAAGAGCCCATATGAATTTAAGCGGTACGACGGTCGGTGAGTTGTAAGTTAATTCTGCTTTGGTTGAAGGTAAGGCACTTGTCAATTTATTCACTGCAGGAGTGCAAATCACTTCATCGATTGACGGTAGTGGTTGAGCACGTGAATTGCCTGAGCACTTCCCAACATTTTCTATTCCTGGCACAACAGCTTACCCTGGACCTTATCGACAATCATAAGTCATTTGATAATGAATCATTTATGTACGGTCTATCCAATGGTGATGATGTCACACCAATGCTCATATCGGCGAAACCGTAGCCGGTAGCCAGAGCAGCCCGGTGTATAAAGTGCACAGAACAGTTTGATGCTTTCTCTCTTTTTTTCATAGCTCTGAAATAGTTAATTAAGGTGTTTTTACATCTTCTGTCATAAATTTATTGCATAAATTAACAGAACCGTACGTTGAAGATTTTAAGAAATTAAAGGATCCAATAAAGGAAAATCGTCCGAAACGTTTACCGCCTCATCGTGGTTGGGAGGTGTTCCTGGGCGTCGGACTGCAACCTGCAGCGGGGGAATTCATCCCCTGGCAGGGTTTCCCAAGCTGAGAAGGAGTCCGGTATTTTTATCAGGAAGCCTAGTTAAGAGTAAACCAATACCAGGATCCATCAGCGTCCTGGTATCAAAGTCGCATGGTGGTAAATCTCCCTCTGATCCACAAAAGCTGTGACTGCCTGTGGTGATGAAGACCTAACTTTGACCAGGCTGACCTCGGGGTTCTAGGGAATCACAATGGATTAACCAAAAAATCTTCGAAAATGGAGATTATTCTAAGGCCCGCACAACCAGTGAGGACGGGTCGTTCAAGTAAGTATGTAATAAATGTAAATAAAAGACAAATCACAGAGAAAGCGCTTTTGAAGTCATCTGAGTAAACGTTGTATAAAAACAAAGCTTCTTCATTGGAGGATTATCCTATTACTGTTCTTCTGTCCAAATCAATTCAAGTGATTTTTGGCCACCATTGCACCTACAATGAAACTTTATAACATAGAAAAATATACCTATTGTAAAGTATTTATTCAACATTTCTTCATAGGACTGGACGTGATGTTATTCCGAACTACGTCTGTCTGCTCGTCGGTTATGCTGTCTCACCTTCAGAACCACTACGGTTATTCTATAGATGTATATTAATAGCATATAGATCCATTTAATGGGTAAATCCATCATAATCCTAATAGCGGATAGAATACTGTAGCCGTAGTGATGGAAGAGAAGCACTGAGAAAAACACTACAGAGAAGATTTCATGCGTGGCAAACACGCTGTATAGATAACTCGTAGAGAATTTCTTCTACATGGTTATAGTAACTAAAAATTTTTTCCAACAAACACTATTTACGAAGTTCCATTCCTTGGAGCTGGGCAAAAACTTGTCTTGTCTGGTAAAAAAAATTACTGTCTGCAATCCAATTGGGAACGCTCCAGCCGTCTATCTTAGGACTCCAGTGAGAATTGCCCGACCACCATTTTGCAACACCCAAGATAAAATGGAAATCGTCAAGCAGCAACGGAAACTACGTGTAAAAGTTAGAAGATCTTCGTAGACAATTGATGCGAAAAAACGAGCCGAATGTGAGAAGCGCTGGGTTCCGCAGAGTAGACGTGAAGACGGATCAAATAAAATAAAATGAAAAAAGACAAGTGAAGACTGCTTCCTTTACCAAGTTGGCACGCTGGCTCATGCTTATATCCCACAAATCTTCTAAGAAGAAACTAAACATAGAATTATCGAAGATTTTCAGAGCGCTTTTTTGAAAAGGTCATAAATTTTAAGTTATGCTGATACTGACTACATTCTTCCTAGCGAAGAATAAAAACGGGAATCTACTACGCCATTCAGGTGGGTTACAATGAAGCGTAGAAAGCTGTTCCTCTAAGAATCAAGTTAAACACAGGCACAGCGGATGACACTTTTTGCATTTCTTCAATTCTGCATGTCAATTTTACAGCGCGTAATTGCATTCATTCCCTCGGTGAATCCATCATAAGAATATTCATGTGGCTGTGAAACATTTAAGTAAAGCTGATTAACGAAATCGTCCGTCGTTGTTCCTAGTATAAGCAGCTTGTTCTGTTCCCCTTTTCACCAGAGCAACAAAATCTGCACCAGTAGGAAAGAGCAGCAATGATCAACAAGCAAAATTATCCTCCATAGTGACGAAGGATGTATTTTTTTATCTTCTCATTCCCAATAAAACCGTTAGCTGAATATAAGTGATTATTTTGAGATGAATATTCTCTGATTTTTATGGCTTCATTTCGACACAGGATTGTTCTCGGGTGCCGTAGTACTCCACACAGTAGAGGTTTATTCTCATGGCTTGAGAGTCATGCTGATTTAGCCAATCCAAACCTCAGTTTTATGTGAATCTTTGCCAGCAACCATCGCCATATTTAAATAGATGGTGAAAAACCAGGGTAGCACCAAAAAGGAACACGGTCTGTCGATGAATATAGGACAGTTTCGATGCACTGGGTGATGAGATCTTGCGAAGAGATCGGCCGACAAAACACCATTGTTAGGCCATCGAATTTTGTGTTGCAACGAGTTCAAACTTTTGATAAATATCATTTCTTAGTTGTTGGAAACGAAATTTCATTTGACCTCGACATGAATAGTCAATATATTGCTCTACTAATGAGCTTACACGAGAATGATATAAAAATTTTTGTTGTGGCCAACGTTTCTGTGTTCTTCAGAGCTGCAATGATTACAGTCAAGCACCCACAGTTCTTCCTTCTTCCGATGTGTGTCTTTGTTTTCCAACAAGTCGAATTCAACTGAGCAGATCGCCATTCGTATCAAGTAATCAATTCTCTGTATATATATATACATATATATATATATATATATATATATATAATGAAGAGCGCATGTGGCCTAGTGGTTGGAGGCACTTTGCAACACACACATGGGATCGATCCGCCTTCTGAACATTGCGAAGAAGTCGTTTTTGAAAGGATTAGTTAAAATTATAAATCCCACCTAAACTGCCCTCCACCAGAGTACTGTAATCTCGTTAATCGACGGCTAATTTGAGCGAGCACAAGGAGACTCTCCCACCCGTCCACCCGTCCCTATCGTAAGCCATGACTAACTGGTGGCCTGAGCTCACTCTACGAATCTGAGGATGGTCACATATTCTATACGACACTTTCAATTTTTTTCTGTTTTTGAGGTGAAGTACCAACGACTGCGGCACCGATCTGTTCTGTTGCGTAGGTTAACCAATGGTTAAATTTCCTGAAATGCTGACATCGAGCGGTTTTCTAAAAAAAACATTGCATGTTAGAGCCACGGAAAAACTTCAATTGTGGAAGAATCAATGATAATCGACTTTTCGAGTGTTGAGATTAATTTCCAAGTTCTTTGCTATGGTCATACTCATGCATATTTACCAACTAGGTTATCCATCATGCGATCCATTTTCTTTCCAGGCGTTTCACTTCTTGTAGCAACTTCTTCTGTGCTGTCGCTAAGTAAAGCCGGCAACTTCATCGTGATAGTTTATGCTCAGTGCCGTTGGAGAGTTACATTCTATACATCACAATTATTGAAGTCTCTAAGAAAAACTTCCACTGCTTACATCTGTTCAAAAAAATGGACACTGTGGAGTCCTCGCCGTCATTTGGACCGAAGGGTGTCGATGCTACAATATCTATATTGGTCGTCATAGGTTAGTAGCTTGGACGGGAGTGTCGGGTCATTTGCCATGGGTGTCATGATAATACCCAGATTATTTTCCTAGGGAAGAAATTAAGTGTCGTACTAAATCAATTACAATCTTCAGATTCGTAGAGCGAGCTCACGACACAAATTAGTTATGGCTCACGATAGGGACGAATGGAGAGTCTCCTGGTGCTCGCTTAATTTACCTATCGATTAACGAAATTACAATATTCTGGCGAAGGGTATTTTATTTACGATTTGCAATTCTAACTAATCCTTTCAAAAACGACTTTTTGCAACGTCCGAAAAGCGCTCCGAATGTTTCATGGAGACGGTGCGAGTGGCAGGTAAAGCAACCGAATGTAGGGGCCGGAATTTTTGGACTTGAAAATGACGCAATTCTAATTTTAAAAGATTACACTTTGAAAATACCTGGAGTTAAGACATGTGCATGATTTTCATATCTGTTTTACGATTAGTGCATTAGTGGACTGCTACGTCTGTTAGCGACGGCACATCTTTTTAATTGGTTTTCACCTAGGATATACACCGGAATGCAAGCACACTCTTGAACAAGCACCCAAACGATGGGCAGACGTTTTCGTGGCTAACCCAGACCATCCGCGTTCGCAAATGGGACGATATCAGGACTGTGAAATGGGCTTCGCCAATGTCATCATGTTCAAAGCGGACTATGACTGTGGATAATGGTTGTGCAAGAAATGAATGAAAATTCCACTAGAGCACGCGTTATCACTGAAGGCGAGCCATCCGAGTATCCAATTATGTAAATCTCATGTTGCAGAGAACGAGGTCTCAGAATAAAGCGTAACCTACGGAGCGAATCGCTCTTCGTGACGGATTCAGCTTTTTTGAACACTGACTTCCATAGCTTGGGACGTTCTGCCTACTCATATCTCAACTTATTATAAACATAACGAGTCTTACTAGTCTACTTAGGTTTTCCGCAGTTTCCATGAATATCAATGGGTTAGAGAGCCTAACATTACTTTGAAAGCAGTCGTACATTTCTGGTTCTTTTTCATGAAGCTGATATTTATTTGTTAGGAAAAGCAATTGTCAACGTAAACATGGACATTGTTCAGCAAATGTCGTTTTTCTATGCATGATTCTTCCTGCAAAATAGCTGTTGCTTACAGCATCCATAGCTCTCTACCACCCTTGTACTACTATTCTGCGAAGTGCTGACGAACCCACTGGAAGTGAAAATTTACAAAACAACGTCATCTTATACAATTATATACCTTCTCTACCTACCTATATCCATTTGTGTGGTACGACAGTTTGCTCTGTGGAGACTGAAGAGTTTTAACCAATGTACTCTTACGAATAGCGTCATCATACTTTCCAATGACATCGTTGAATCACAAGGTAATAAAAAGGTCATCAGTTCTCGATCCATAGTAGAAAAACTCGGAAAAAAGTGATTATTTGTGAAATTGTCTATATTAGATCGATCTTCATTTTGAAATATAAGTAATAAGTAAATATATAATATGAATTAAAAATAAAATCAATATAAGTAACAGTAATATAAATAAATAATAGGACGAGTTTTCCTGCACTGATCGGAAGCAGCGGCATGGGCTCACGAATGGCGTTAACCACTCAGTGGAAGATGTGTATTAAGAAATGAACAATATATGGCATTCAAACTCTTGGTGTAAACACATAGGCGCTTGTGTAATTGTCCATCAAGTTGCGTAATTAGTAGCAGTGTTTTAGCTTGAGGGGAACGAAATGCAATGCAACGATTAGTCAGACTGTTGGGCCGGTATGTGCTCAAGTACATCCTCGATTTATTCAGAAGCGCTTGAAAAAGCAGATTGTCTGCTGCACATTCTTGAAGAACTAGACATTGGCTTGATCATCAGCTATTTTGAGCAATTCGTTGTTTAAAATCCGTGCTTAGTGTTCTTTATAGAAATGGAATACGAATTTAGTAACACATCTGTGGATAAGCTTGATGAGAGGTCGATGTCTCAACCTTTAAAACGATGGAAAGAGGTAAAGTAGTTGCAGGTGTAACCAATCGACAGAACACAGTGAACAAAAGTTACGGCACTGTGATTTCGATTATAGCTTGCTTGAGAGAATCAAATTCCAATTTGTTTTTCTCGGATCATTTCCGTTGACGGGTGTTTACTGATAGAATTGATATATTTAATAAATGGCTAAGAGAAAGCAGAGCAAAGGCCTCAACTGATGTGTAGGTTAGCACGTGAACATTAGGATTGCTCATATCTCAGCGTCCTTGTGCATGAATTATATACCTTACTCTGATATTAAAAAACAATAGACAGCAAATAAAGGTTAGAACGTTTAGCGTTCTTGGAGACAGTTAATTGGGAAATACTATAAAACCTGATCATATTTCTCTACACCTTTCTGATGAAATTTGGAATGAAACAGGTGAGAATGTCATTCTGAGCATTTTTTCCCATCAACACCATTGTGGAAGCCCTCACTTCATGAATTGGAATTTTAAAAATTCACAGCAAATCACAATGATAGCTGTTTATTTGCTGCCTAACAGAATTTTTTACGGCATGATACCACGTGAAAAGCAACCGTAACAGTTATAGATAATTAGTTGACAGACAGGCGAAACGAAGGTCCTGCACGGTGTGGTGGTGAACGCGTTAGCCCCGTTAGAACCTGGAAAGGTTAGTAACGCATTCGTTCCTCACAGCAGACACCTGTGTCCTGTGTTTTGCAAGTATCTTAGCGTCATTACCACAAATCGTTTATCAAAGCCATTCTATCTGCTTGAACCATAACCGGGGTTTCTTCAGGAATCTGAGAACAACATTACTACTAACTACTTAATGCACTGGGCATTTAGTTTGCCGAATAAATCTGTTCAAGCACTTAATATCTTTAAAAACAAGTGCATTACTGATGTGCAACATCAAAGCAACCTAAAACAACCCAAAGACACAACTTTGAATGAAACTTGAAGCAAGTGGAAACTTTGTTTCGTTGGAAACGGATCGATACTAGGTAGATCTGCTTTGACTATTAAATAGCTGTTTAACCACCGTCCGTAACTTTGATAAGAATGAAATACTTTTCTTTACAACCTTCATTATTACAGGTCTCGTCATTGACAAATTTAGTTTTTAGTAAACGACACTAGTCAAGGTCCAAAAGAGAAGAACTTCAAGTAGAACGTGGAAGAATAACGGCAAGAAAAAGGATTGAACGAATATCGATTAGCAATTATACAATAGGTATGGACTTTTTTTACTCCTTTACGTATTTCTGAGTAATACTGTAATATTTCACTTTACTCCGAGATGCTTATACATTTTTATAAGAGCATGCCTATATTTACTGGAATTCCACTAATTAAATGTGAACAAATCACACTTTGCTTAATTCAAGGTAGAATTTCGATACCGTCTGGTTGTATTTTGGCAATTTGGCCTGAAAATGAAAGACGCAGATAAAGTCCTGAAAACAGTCCCACTTTGTACTCACGATAGCTTTATACTAGATCATGAAAGCTTTTTGAATGTGAAAAACTGTTCAGGTCTTCTTCATCCTGGAAAGAAGCTCGACCACAACAAGCTGTTCCCATGTTGGTCATGACAAAAAGAGTTATAGATTAATTATATCATGTAATGTGTTAACAAAGGCTTTTGGATTGCGGTAGCAGCTAGCTCGAACAGGTCGACATTTTTCGTGAGCTATCAAATTTGTGCTCTTATTAAGTCGTCATAGAAGCTGTTGACATAATCATTGTTGCTTTTTTGTTTCCTAATCGTTATCGTATTGATTAATTGTCTCACCCTGATATAATCGAGGACAGTAGAGTAGATAAAGAAGTACTGTAACTCATTGTGTATAGATAACGCTCGCTGTTTACGTATGCTTAATGCGACCTCCTTCACCTGAAAACAAATTGCGAATATCCTTCTTATCATTCAGTTAATCGTCTATAAATTGGTTATAGATTTCTTGACAACGGGCATTAGCCTAGCAAAGAGGAACGAAAACAGGAAGGAGCTCGAAACAGCGCAATTAAATAAAAAATACCTTTGAAGTTAATTGGAACCAAGCATATTATGACAGGGATATTTTGAGCAGCACTGTATACAATATTAAAGGATCAAAGAGAAGGAGAACAAAGTTTAACGACTGCATTTCCTAGATCACCTCTAACGAGTCCTATAGAATGAAACGTTTAAAATTTAACAGGGGAGCAAGAGTGGGGGTATATTCAAATTAAAATTTATGGTCTTTCGGGAAGACGTCGAGACTAAAAGAAGCGCAAAAAAGCTCATAGAAGCCGTTAATTCCGTCACAGTAGCAGCCGCCGACTTCATATAACTTCATTCCGTATCTTTAAAGATGAGATAATTCGAGCAGAGCTTTCATGGAAAGTTCAACAAAATTATAACTTGAGATCCAGCCGTTTAAGCATTTCCATATCAAATGTCATAACTAGTCGAGTCTACTTGACTATATAATATGATTTAGAGGCATTCCGTTACACCTTCATCATATTTCTTCAGCCTCCACTCACCACCCTCTTAGTTATTGGTGGGCATAAGGTATAGTTTTCTTTCTCAGAGTCCTTCTTCTATCTATAACCATTATTTTCTTACCTTTCCTTCAAATCCCTTGAAAAGCCGGTTGCAAACGGCATCGATTGCTACTAAAGTACCTGTTCGACCGATACCAGCGCTACAGAGCAACGTTACCGGTCCTGGCTAAATAAAATACCATACAATCACACTTTTAAAATCACTTCAGCAAATCCCTATGTTTTAAAGTAAAGCTCAGGGTTACAAAACAAAATATTCGCTACTTGAAATCAGCAAATTCATTAAACACTCTGATGTCGAAACTGTAGGATTACATAGAGTTGCTATAATGAGCGGCATTTTGTGGGCATGGCTCACAGTGCACAGCAACATAACACATCAAACTGCTTTGCTTTTACCCATTATACTTATAGAAAGCTTTACTTCAGGCATACCTAACTTATAAGTAAAACTCAAAGATAAAAATGAAGTACAGCCGCAATGATGTTGATATGTTTGCAAAACTGGTGACCGCAGGTGTCTGATGTCTGGGGAGATAGCAGCACTGGCTCGATACATCGGTAGGCCACCACGAGTCATTAAAAGGCGAGATATGCATTCAATCACCTCCAAACGATGCTTAATGAAGTTGAAGAATGCATGGCGCATCTCTCAGGGATTGATCAACGCCAAGATTTTTTTTATCCTTTTAACTCGTTCACCACCACATCACGAGGGCCTTTCGTTTCACCTTTCTCTCACCCGTGTTTAGAAGGAAGACGAAATGTTGAAAAAAACGAGGTACTTAAATTTTGTGCATTTTTGGAAAAAACAACAGGTATCTTCAATCACCTCTAATGACTGAGTCCATCTAAGTAGTCGTAAAACCATTCGACCACTGGGCGGAACTGCCTAAATGGTCAAAAGTTGCACGGATGAGAAAACCGGGGTTGGTTCCAGTTATTCAGTCAAAGAACACTTAGTTGCCAAAATCTAGCCTATCGTTTATAATGGAACAAAAACTAGGGTCATACTAGGCAATTTTGGTAAGTATGGGAGAAAAGTGAGTCAAGGATCGTACTTTTCTCGGCCACATAGTGCAATGAGCCAATTTTGTAAGTATTGAGTTTGAACAACCATCAGGCAGCACTTCAAGCGTGTAGACATCGTACTGGTCAAGATGGTCGATCTGAAAGAGACGGCCGTGAACCGATGTATGCACGTAGATGCATTGAGGACAACAGAATTTCCTGCAATGAACGGTCTTCGTCAGATAAACATTCTTCCCACCATCATTGTGACTACACTACAGTATCTGTCTGTGAGTGCTTCACGTACTCTTTTGTTATTGACGAACATTTTCCCGTAGTATTTGTATCCACCGGCGTCAGTTGGCCAGAATTCTTCGCATGATTGTGTCCCATCCTCGTAAAAATTACAAAGCATGATCACGCCAGAGCATTGTTGCTAAAGTGGACAAGTTAAAAGATGATGATTTAATGCTAATAAAATGGGCATACAATAATGGAGAAACAAGATAGATAGATGAGACATAAGTTTGAAGGCAAATGCAGATATTTATGAGGCAACGAAAAAAAAGTTGAGTAAAATTGTAAAATTTAACAAAGATAAAACGTTCGGCGACCATTTCTCACTCAGAGCTGTTCTCCGCAATCGAATCTATTAAACATCCTAGAAGCGAGTGAAGGAATATGTAGCCCACGGGGCTATAGGTCTATACAATGACATAATGTATGGAGACCTAATGATGTACGAAATCGGTGTTATTCTCTCAGTCGATTCTGGTACCAAACTGTCAAACTAAGAAAGTTGGAGGACATATATTCACATCCGTACTGTTTTGTACTGAACCTGTCGCACAGTATAATCGCGTCTTCATGCTCTCAAAGCAAGAGAACTAATGGTAGATTCGTCTACAAACGATGATGTACTCAACTGACCATCTGGTAACCTCTGCTAAACTCTGCTTAGAAAAGTCCACATTTAGTGATTCAATGAATTTCTATTGCCCGCTCACCATTCCTGACTTAATTTCGAAAATTTGAAAAGAAATATTTTTCTAGAAGGAGTTCATTGCCCATGATGTTTGATATATTCCTGGCCAAGCCGTCGATTTTCAAGAGTTTATTGAGTTTATAGTCAACAGTCTATACTTCGAAATCGGTGAGCACGGCATACTCGCTTCCTAGTGATAATTAAAGGAAATGCTCGCGTGACTAAATGAATGTGTCATTGGGGTGTGAGGTGAAGTAATGGGTTTGCGCTGGTGGCTCAAGAGACCGAAGATGGATGAATCAAACACGAATCTGCCGAGGAAGAAGTAAATGAAACCGGTCAACGTAAGGCGAATTTTCCCTAGCCTGATGTTACAAAATTGTAGGAAGCAAGCCACTCCCATAGCGCAAAATTAACCACTGTTTCTATGGTTACGAATTTTACAAGCCTATTTTGTAATCACATCCTTCCAACCGCCAAATTCTGGTCGTTACCTGCTCAATGAATTAAATGCCAGTGATAATATTCGTGTTGACGAGAACTTTAACAGAGCGTGGTTACTGAGTACTTCATGTTCCGTGGAGTAGTTCGTCTCTGGTAACCACGTATTGATATCGGTTATGTTTTCGTTATCTCGATGAAATGGTCTTTAATATTCTTAGTTTGCATCATACGATTCTCACTGAAGGTCTACGATACGAAATGCGTTGCAAGTACAGATCGTCAACATAATCCTTCAAAAATTAGGAAGCGTAAACTACTTTTCTGAATTCAACATTTCTCCGTCTTCCTCTCCTTAACGATAGTACTGAGGGTATTTATAAGCGAGATATGCCAATGTTTAGTTTGTCCAAGCACACTGTGGGTGATGAGTATGCCCACTAGTAGCTTGAACTGATCCCAGAGTAGACGTAGAGCTTATTTGTTGGAGACCACTCTGAATACAGTGCAGTGCAATACATACATACAAAAGCATAGCCACGTATGTATGGTGGAACGCATGTGTCACTTCGATGCAACACTGTTGTAGCTCATTTCCTGGGTCCACTTACACTCGTGGCAATAGCACCGTCATTTTGCTTCTCATAATATCACCTGTAGGAGGTTTGAGTAGCAAGGCGATTAATTAGCCCAAGACCACCTGCTGGAAGACACCCACGATTTATATAATGCGGAGACAGGTCTTCATAAGTAGTGTCATAGTACTAATGAAAGATATTATCATTTTCTCTACTAGAGGAGCTATTTTTCATAAAGACAAATTACGCAATAAATGAACCAGCACATATAACCACGAACAATGTGTACACAGGATTGGCTTGCCTATAAAGACAACCAATGAAACTGACTTGAAAAACCATCCTCCAGAAATCTTCGACGGTGTTGCTCTTTGGTCCTTGCGTTAAGATAAATTCTCGGTCCAACTAAAATTTTCAGCTCCACCACCGCAATACTCTCGCATTGTATGAGCAAGTTAACGGGATCTGCTCGAAAACAGTAATAAATATACGCCAACCTTATCCATCTTCACTCTATTTGCATGTATATAGTCATTATCGCAGCCCTCGCTCGGTTGAAGGACTATCCGTGTCTCGTCGAGGCATGGAATTTCCTAAATTCTTCACTTTACTTTTGGTTTCGTAACAGGTTCCACAAGTTTGAAACCACTGAAATGTCTAAATAACCGGATATCTATTTAAATGTGGTGAAGCCTCGAATTTATTATATGTTCCTGGCTTGGGCTTGAAATCGAGAACAACGCGACATTCCTTACGTAGGCCATCAACGCCAGCTATAATGAATGAGTAAATAGGCAAACAAATAAATAAATGTCTCAGTGACAGCGCTTCTTTTACAAGTCGGAAGTATAGTGATGGATCGGTAGACGCAAGATCATCACCGGATACTAACTTATGAGTTTTTATAAGTACAAAACGGGGCATGTTGGTAAGTCAACTTTTAGTTGAGAGATAACCGATGATTTAGTTTAGAGATAACTGATACTTCCGACTTGTAAATAAGTGTGTCACATAAAACAGTCTCTTATATTTTTCCGCTTTTAAGGACAAGGTCCCTAGGGTAGCTGTGCCGTAATAGCATAGAAATATCTGTTGTTAGCATGTTAGCACTGTGAATATGAGGCATTATTGACTACGACTCGCAACTATCACGAATGCAGTTCTCAGTTAGTCTATCGCAGATTTCTACCAGTATCGACGTGCTAAATAAAATCCACATATATTAGGGCGAATTCATGCTAGTGTGCATGATTACGGTTATCTATGCCGAGGATATAAATCCTCCTTAGACTAATTACTACATATGTTAAGGGTAATGTTAGGCTTCAGTCCCTCATTCGTTACAGATACACGCACCAGATAACCTTGACCACTAACGGCTCGAAATCCTTCATATGAGGGAGGCTTCTAGATATGTTAAAATTATCCATCCAGAAAAAATGCCTTGGCTATGTAAGCCGCATATTCGCATATTTCTAACAGACTTTCTTCTTATATACAAACCTGTCTCTGTAGTATATTTCACAAATTCTTCCACAACTTTTTCGACATCTAGCATAACATTTGGAGTCTGGCGCCTTACTTTTGTGTCCTCAACAATAACAGATGTACATAGACCAGGTCGGAAGCCACTGTTAGCCAATTACACGCTTTTCCCTTTCCAATTTAATTTCAGAAATTTCAGTCAAATTTAATTTCAGTCAGTACGAAGATCAGTTTATCTGGAAATAACAAGTAAAGATGCTCAACTTTGACTTTTAGTCTGATGGCTAAGTAACGATGAGTCGAAATGATAAACGAATTTTCAAAGCTCTCAGACTCGAGTATCAGCATCACTCTGTACTGATCAACATAGCTGTATTTGTGCAATTTACGGAGATATTGAGATTACACAAATAACCAGAGGCATACCCGCTTTCTTTTCTCCTGCTGTGTCGAGGCCTCAACAGTTTCAGGAGCTTTTTGAGACTGCGTTTTTTCCTGAAGAGTACGTTTGAAACGGTTGAAAAACGCATAAATTAAATGCATGGGTCACTGGCAGAGATTAGTTCAGATCGAACTGAGAGCACAAAGTGTCATGGTTGCTGTAACGCTACTACTACTACTACTACTACTACTACTACTTGAATTCTATTCATTGCTTGACACTTGGTACTTAAATGGCCCGTCCCCACTAGTTGTGCGGGCCCAGCATAACCTCCATTTTTCGGAGATATGTTGGTTAAGCCACTATGGTGCTCTGGAATCTCTAGGTCAGCCTGGCCAACTGTCCCAGGTCTTCGACACCATAGGCAGTCGCAGCTCTTGTGGATCATAGAAAAATTTGCCACTATGCGACTTTGATACCAAAGCGGTGGTGAACCCTGGTATTCTATTCCATCATAATTCGCTGTTTTTCTTCAATAAGCAGATACGAGGTTGGTGCCAACCTCGTATCTGCTTATTGAAGAAGAACGGCGAATTATCAATCAGTGCTGAAGTTAATAGAAGGTTAGTCTTGGGAATTACTACATTTCAGCATAATTAAGAGTTTCATCGTTCCCAAACAACCACCGTCTATGGGGTGGTCTGGTTCATGCACGGTCATCTATGCGAGCTTTGCTTTCTTTCCAGTTGTGTCCAGCAGTTCTTGGTAACGGAAATCAACGAGAGAAAACCAACGCCACCAAATATGCAGCTGTAATCCACCAAATTGAGTATAATGTTACACCTATGAAGATGTGCTAACAGCTCGTGTTTACTAAATTTACAAATTAAGAAGACGAAAACGGTAGTGTGGGAAAGAAAACAACATGAAAGGTAACAGAATCTAGGGACAAAGTCTAATTCCACAAAGGCGACATTCTGTTAAAACAAAATAGGCCTATGTTCAGAAGCTCATGCTGTAATATCTTATTGTTGAAATCACCGAGATCAAATACGAGTGTCTCGAAATAATCCGTGGAAGGAGAGGCCGCCCCTCCATAGCAATTTTGGAAAATCAAATCTTTCCTTTGATGAAACACACTACTAAGAATTCGGAATAACCGGAGTTAATACGAAGCTAATTCAATTCACTGACCAGTTATTTCTTTTTTAGGTTTTACAAGATGAAACACATGTTCCCGTTTAAGAAAAAGAGCGAGAGATGAGACCCTGACAATCACACTTGCAGAAAAGGAAGACGACTTCAAGAATACCTTGAAAACCGACTTCCATTAATCTTCGGTAACAAGAGTTAATAATTTTTTACATGACTGAGCTAACATGAAGCTGGTATAAACTTTTGTTCGGCTAGCGTTCTCGCACATTCGCTTTCCTCAGAGTCGCGTCGATCTGAGTCGATGGCCCCAGCTAGTCGTTTTCACGACGCGGGTTTTCATACTCCTATTGAGTCGAATACAGTGATGAGAACACATCTCAAATGGTTAACTTCATTTAGCGGTCCCTCTTATACAGGATGGTTGTTAATCGTTTCCCACCTCTAGTATGATCTCAATACATCCTATGCTAGGCAGCAATCAACTGACATCTATGCTGTATAAATGGTACGCCGAGTGAAGTTGACCACCGGAGCGGTGTTCCCTTCGCTGAATTCGATTCGGTGGGAGTGCGAACACCCATATCGCGGCAACGAGCAGCCTAGGACCATCGACGTCGACTCAGATTAACGCGGCTCAAAAGAGGGAGAAGGCGTGAAAACGTTAGCTGAAGAAACGCTTGCACCAACTTCGTATTAGCTCAATCATTAAGGATAAAGGATAAAGCTCTCGACGTTGATCAATTCCTGAGGGATGCGCCATGCATTAGACTTCATTAATCATCGCTTGGAGGTGATTGAATGCATATCTGGCCTTTGCAATGACTCGCGCTGGTCTACCGATGTATCGAGCCACTGCTGCTATCCTCCCAGACAAGTCTGGTACCAATTTGCCGACCTCGGAGGGGTGAAAGGCTTGGTGGGCCAGGAGCGCGGGGATCAATTTCACCTGTGTGTTGCAGGGCTCCTCTGACCACTGCCACACACGCCCTTAGCTAAACCATGTATAAAATGTTCAATTTCAAGAATAGTGCAAACGATTGAAATGATATTGTGCTTACATTTGCAAGTAAAAAGCTTTCACATAGTTATTGATAAAAGATAACAGTTCAAGTGCTGTGAAAAATCGTCGGAGTTAACCAATTTGATGGACGCCATTGAGAATTGTGAGTTTTGAATGTTCTACGTCGTTCATAGAATCTGATTGATTGTTCTACAGTGAGGATAACTACGTCATCGGCAATTGAACGTTTTACTTAAGAGAATGTCTAACGCAATAGAAAGGACCATTTCTTGTCGGATATGAATCTCAGGAGGAAACACGCTAGTAACAGAAATAAACACATTGTCGCTATTTAGAAGCACCTCATTTCATACTTTTAGATGAAAGGGTTAATGTTTTTTTGTTCAATATTTACGAAAATCAGCAATAAATTTCCACATGTAACTGTCACTGACCAAATGTTTTTATCAACAAGAAACCTAGGACATATAAGTGACATTGTATCGTCAGCTTCTTGTAGTTCTACCTTTACTGTTCTACTGTTCTCATATAATCTCTAAAGCATCAGAAGGTTCAAGAAACCAGAAAGGCATTGAGGACAACTCTAGTCAACATTTGTCATTAGCGCCTCATAAAATAGCTCAGCGCGACATGTGGCATCTATCAGAATCTACGGAACGAGGAATTGAGGATACCTGTACGTCATCGCTGGGAGGCACTTTTGGCCGTCTTCCCTGAAACATCTGTTATAGTTAGGGAAGAAGTGGATATGTAAAGTGGAAAAGCTTACTTTTCTGGTGATTTTCTTCGTACTTTCATCAGCTATAGTTTTATCAACTGTCGTAATCTCTTTAGAATCACGCTTTGTTTCTCGCTTCTGACGCTTCGATTTCTTCTTAACGTTATCAAAATATCTTCGTATAAATACAACTTCTGTGCATGATACTGACATAATAGATTATTACGAACGGATATACACAAAAAAACAAAAAACCATGCAAGGAGTATTGTAGTGGTAGTGTTTGCCGTTCATTACGTGCCGTTGACAGCGCAACCATTTCAGTCGCTTGTTCGACCGGCACTGGACCCACCAAGCAAGCCACCTTTCCGGAGGTGGAAAATTAGTACCAAACTTATCGGAGACAATCTCACTTTCCAGAGTCCGTATGGGAACGCTTTAGCATGGTTATCCTTCAGTTCCAAGAAGAATCGACTTGTTCAGCATTCAACCACATTCGTGATTAACATAAGAAAAAAGGCAGAAGCAGTAGCCGAAGCCACACGCAAAAAAAACTAGAAGGACCCTCGTGGATGGCACGTGCGCAAGAAACGAGTCGAGTGCTAGGAGCGCCGGGAGCCTCATGGCGTAAATCATGTGATAATTGGTCTTGTAATGGTGATAAAATAATATGAAGAAACAATAACGTGGATACTTTTCAGAGCTATCTGCAAGCTGAAGCCTACAACGAGCTTCTTATTCAACGACATTGTACGATTTAACTCACCCTATTCATAACCAGACCCTTTCAGATAATGCTAAAATTGTGAGTGTTACACACTGCATTGCACAA